CCCCGCCGCCCTCCCGAGTGCCTTCCAGCTTGCGGGGACAGGCGCTTTTTTTTTTTTTCTCTTCTCCTCCCCCTCACTCCTTCTGCTTCCTCCATATGTGGTCCCAAATTACTCCCTGTTTGACTCAGCAGTCATGCTCATCACACTCTGGTTTTCTGGTTATTTAGTTAAGCATCTTTTTTAGTAGCAGTGTGCTAGGCAAGCCACGCATTTCCAGCAGCACTTCATTTGGGTTCATCCAATATTTTGTATACTGCAGTTCAGCGTAGCTCCATCCCGTGCCACCAGGAGTTTGTTTTCAGGAATGCTGTGGGTGAGGCTCTTGAGGACAAACCGAAGGGAACCAATTGCAGACAGTTTTCACCCAACTGGTGAAATGGTGAGAGAGACTGGTGACTTCAGGCAGACAAGCCGTTCTCAAAATAGAAGGCATATGGCTGATAGTTTTGTAGGCTTCATTACCGTAAAACAAAGTCATCCTTTGTGACAGACTAATGATGTTTCAGCAAATGAATTTACACTTCATAGGAACTCCTCCATCTATCCAAGTTACTTGGCAGCTTTTTACTGGAAACTCTAACTAGGGGTTTTTTTTCCTTGCATATCTGTATGCGATATGTTTACAGTCTGTATGCAGATATGTGCACATTAATATCTGATGCGTTGCTTTGGGATGTAAAAAGGTGCCATAGAAGAAGTGTACTTATCTTGGACTTGATATGTTAGTGCTGTAATTATAAGCTGGGTCTCTTCCTCACAGTCTTTGGTGTTTTGAATGTTTCCTGAAGACACTGATTTCTGTGTATAGTATTTTGAATGCTGATCACTAATATGTCACATAATTTGGAAAAGTAATATTCAGTCAAAAGGAGTTTGCTAAATAGGATGTCTTTTTTTTAACCTAGATACAGCAGGATGTGCATGTGCTTATATAACATTTAACTTGGGTTTTGTTTGTTTTGGGGGTTGTTTGTTTTGTTTTTTTTTCTGATTGGGGCAAAATTGCTGTTACTTGACCACTGCTTTCAGTAATGAGTTGTATTGTTTTCAAAATTGTGCATGAAACTTTGAATTCGTAGCGGTTTCATGATACAGTGTGCTAAGTTGGTAGTAGCTCAAGTTCTGTAGATGGACCTTACTTTGTTAGCCAGTGTTTTACTTTTTCTGTTCCTTTGTTGCTTGATGCAGTTTTGTGCTGTTTTACTCCAAAATTTAGTAGCTAGTTTTGGAATCATGAATAGTAGAGCCAACTACTTTGGTTTGCATGTTGTTGTAGTACACAGAATATAGAGTTGTAGGTTAAAATCTTAAATTATTGTTGAATTTTTCTTTTAAGGTTCTTTAGACATGCCCAAGTAAAAAGTTTTAGGTATGATAGAAGAGAGGTTGGAATTATGAGTCAATGCCTACATTCAATTTGGCTATTCTTACCTAAAGAAAGTAAGAATTGAGTTTTCATTTGAAATCAAATCTCTGATGTACAAGAATCGGTTGGCCCACCAAGAGACTTCAGTGACATTGCTAAATTCCGGCTCAGAGGTTCAGGAATACGGTTAGAATACTGTAGGTGAAAACATTGCTGATGCTAAGCATTTTCTATGCACTACAACAATGTAATTTGCCTTGTAAGAGTAACATTGTGATTTCAAATACAAAACTCATTGGCTTGGCATGAAAAATCCATTTGCTGTTTGGACAGGCCTAGTGACTGAGGTGTATACATAATCATTTTTCTACAGAAGTTAATGTTTGTAGAACACAGATATTTCTTACAGAAAGAGATAGTTGTAGATAGAGCTAATAATCTTTCACACTGCTTAGTTTTTCTCCTGCTATTTTGGGTGGGTTTTTGAGAGGTTGGTCATTTTTGCTTTTCAAAACATTGAGTGGATCTGCAAAACTACCCAGTTTTTCTCGTACTTACCTATGTCTCATGCTGCTGCTAGGGAAAACCTGGACAATTACAGTAGTCATCATGTGGTGTTTCTATCATAGATGAACTGGGAGCTGTGTGAACCAGTAAGGGAGGTCCTGGTGGAGGGGCAGAGAATGACTCTTGCCTCGCAGGCAGGGGAGGCATTGAGAGATCGGGGTGATAGATGCTGTGCTCTGCCATTCAACTGTATGGGTACCAGCCTAAAAGTTCCTGAGCCTCTGCTTCTTCCCTCACTTCAGGGCTTACTGGAAATATTATAGGACATCATCATCTTGTTATCCTTAGTGGAGATTATTATTACCCCCGAGTGCCTCTGTCAACCTCACTAATGTTCATCACCAGTTTATCACTTCGTTGGGCATTTTCTACACTGTTGGTAACAGGGAAACTAAAATTGCTTGGAGTAAAGAATAAGTTGAAGTGTAGTCTTCTCCTCCCCGAGATGAAAGTGGAGAAAATAAAAGTAACATGACACAAGACAGAAGTATTAACTATTTTTATTTTTTTTCTTTCTTTCCAGATGTACCAAACTTTGCCATCAGAAGCCCTTAGATCTGAAAGATGATAACACTGAAATTCACTGTCCTGTTACAGTAAATCCATGGCACATGAAGAAAGCTTTTAAAGTTATGAATGAATTAAGAAGGTATTACTTCACTGAATATATCTGCCTGGAGTCTATAATACATTTTTACTTTCATTTGCATTTATTAAGTTAATAATAGTAATTTATTTATTAAGAACATGCAATTCCAGAAGCGTAGCTGAGAAGTATTAAATATACACTGAAGAGATAGCTCAGTGATAGTCGTGTGATGATAGCTGTATTGTGTGTGGTATGTTTTTGTCCCTCATAAACCTAGTTTTGACTAACTTATGAGACTTGAAAAATACTTGGAGGTTGTATTTAAGGAGTTGCACCTACTCATCCTATCTTGTATGTAGTTGATGCTGAATAGATGAAAAGTTACTCTAGTTGGCCCTAAGGCTCTTCGTATGCCTGTTGTTGGTTTTTTTTGTGGCAGGCTCTGAACTGGAAAAATGTTAGAATTTTCTAATCTGGAAACACAGCTCACAGTCTAACAAAAGTAAACCAACTGACCACACTTTTTTTTCTTATCTTTTGCTTGCCCTCTGGGAGAAACTAATGAATTCCCAAATCACATGTTGGCAGTAACTTCTCTCAGTAAAGTTTTGTAAGACTTTGAGTGAAGTTACCATCAGTTTCAGCAAAACTAGGAGACTGGTGGTGATGCTGTTCTTAGCACCCGTATTGATTTATTTTCTATGTATGAGTAGGTGAGATGATGTTGAAAACTGTGACAGCTGGTAATTAGAGCTCACAACTGAGCTCTGGTAATTAGGACTCACTATCAGCTATCACTGACAGTAATTCAGCTTTGTAACTAAGAGCAACAATGGAGAAATTAAATAAAACATTTCACTAGCATATACAATACCCGAGGGTGTGAAAATCCTGTAGTCCTTTATTTCCCATGTAAGATTAAAAACTGGAGGTGCTTCATCTGAAAAAAAGACAGCAACTGATAACCCTATTAAAGTATGCCTCTGCCTTTGATCTTCACTGTTCCGTATGGGTAAGTCTTTAATACTGTGGTAGATATTGTGATAAGATCAATGTGTTTAGCTGGCTGTGACAGTTTGTACTGGAAGACTGGAGCAAATAATATGCTGGCTATAAATGACTTAAATCCAGCTCAAAGACTCCTGTAGTCTGAGGATAATGGGGTAAGAGCAGAGACTATTTTTCTAGTATTTTAACAGCCTAGTTACCTTATGTTGGAAGGGCTGATACTTGTTGCTTCACCTTACTTAACGCAGTTGGCTTTTTCAAGGATCCCAGTAACCAGATTCAGTGTCTTTAGATGTGTAATAGAACCTGGCTAGTGCCAGTAACTGTGACTTACTAAGGATGAGCAAGAGTTTAGATGGAGAAGCAGTTTCCCAGAATGAATCTCACAACAGTTTCAGAAGTCAGAAACCTTACCTGCATCTTGTTATGTTGCAAGTAAAAGATTCGTGGTCTTCCAGCAGAGTGCATTGTTGAAGGCTGTGGATTATTTTCAGAATATACTTTAGTTTCCATGGTTACTTAAATTTGAATTGCTGTAGAAGAAATTTGAGCAAATTGTCCTACATGTATAAACATTTAAAGTTGAAATGAGAGCAGTGCCATGCAAACCTTAACTGTAGTTTTTATTTAATAAGGTAGTTGATGCAGTAATGTTTACTGTTTAAGCAGAGTACAGCTTTTAAACTGGTAAGTGCTAATTAGATAAGTTTATAAACATTAATATTTGCATTTATGTGTTTGAAATAATAAACTGAAATATTTTAGAAATGTTTTAGACTTCATTGCTCTAAATGGAGGCCTAATATTAATCAAGTAAATGGCATTTTTTATTTTATTGACTAAATTTATAAAGTGGTTTCTATTTCAGTTCTTTTCATTAGTGTAGCAGAAGCAGATATTTGCTAGGGGTATACTTTCCAGGAAGTGGATAACTAATGAAGAAATCATCTGCTTAAACATCTAAAATACATTGGATTTGGAATGCCTGGATCTATTAGCCCATAAAAGGGTTTTTTCTGTGTCTTCAAGTTTTGACAAATTCGAGTAATTTTGTCCTTGGTAGTTCTTGTCATTTTATTACTCACCATCACCTCAACACTGAGTCAGAGAGATCATTAGTATAGCTAATCAGTTCTTGACATATGAAGAAATTACCCTCTGATGCTTAACTTTGCTCTTATTATAATTTGCTTTTATCATAATGGAACTTGACCTTACCTATATTTGTTAAAATTCTCATTCTTATAAACAAGATTTTACCATAATCTTTTGAAGATGTGGGTAATGACATTTCTCTACATAAACCAATGAAGAATAACCTGAAAGTTGATAGACAGTTATTGTTCTTAAATCTGTTCTTTTGTGCCTCCCCCACCTTCTCATTTCCTTTTCTCATTTCCTCTACCAAGACTGTGTGCCCCCCATAGCTCTGTTCGTTCAGTTCCTCTGTGCAGGCAAATTGGTACAATATTACTTCAGAATGCAAGCTTTTCTAAAATAAATTGGTGTGCCCTTATGACATGAAGGTGCTGAGTTGCTGTGGAAGCCACAAGATGCTTGCAGCAGAGTGCATGATTAAGTTTACAAGCTTGTTTATTTAGCTTATTGGCTTTGTAGTAATGCAGGGCATATTCATTCATCTAATGCAGTTCCAGATCAGAGATGTACCCAGAGTACCTCTAAGTTACTGTGTCTATGTATGTGCAATGTAATTAACGAGCTGGAGTTTTGCATTGATGTAATTCTGTTGCTTCTGGCTTCACTGTTATCTTTGGTATTTCTGTGCAACTAAGTATAAAGCGTTTTGTTTCTGTTGTCACGATAAGTGCAAGTATCTGAAAAAGCTGAATGTCTGTTGACCTCTTATTTGCAGCTTTCTGTGTCGATTTTTCTAGAATAAATTTAAGAGTTGTTCTCAAATTTCTCTGAATTATGTGTTTCATCTGGGTATGGTCATTACCTTGTATTATAGATCTTTTTTGATAATAACCATATTGCAGGCTAAACTTACGAGATTTAGATAGTTGCTGTTAGTATTGGGAGCCAAAAGGTGGAAAACCAGAAAATATAAGGCTGGGATTGCAGTACGTCTCTAAAGATTAGTTGTAGCCACCAAAATTCTTGGTGTGTGGCCCCCACAAGGCCTTCTCAAAGAAACTGAATGATTGCAGAGGCTGAGAAATAATGGTGTTTTTTTGGGACTAAGGTGAATATCTGAGCAGTTTGATGGAGAACTTGGCTCTCTGTCAGGTCAAAATGCAACTGCTCACCCCAGTCTTTGCTACAACTCTGTGTGGTCGTTGCAAACTACTGTCAGAAGGTCTGCAGTCTAACTGCAGGATGTGTTCAGGAAAGGTAAAAGCTTGTATTTTCAAGAGTGAGAATAGCAAGCAGCAGATTGACATATAGCTCTAGCCCTATCCCTAAGGAATATGTTCTGTTAAATCATACTTTCTCCCCTCTTCCCTTTGCTGCCCTGACTCTGAGTTTTGTGGATTGTATGCTACTTCTACAGAGACAGTGCCAGCATGAGGGCAAAATAAAAGGCAACTGTGACTATGGCTATTTAGATGTGGCGAAATTGCAGCCTTTTAGTTTTGTGGTGGTTTGTTTTGTTTTGTTTTCCCTCCTTTTTGTCTAGAAAATTGGATAATAAAGAGTACCTGGTGTGGTAGGTTTAACTGAAAGAGGTTATATCCAATAGCTTTAAACTGCATGGGAAACACCTGTATTAGGAATGATTATAAATGAGATATTACTTGTTTGCAATAAGAGAGGGAGGAAATATATATCACAGTTGCAAAGGACAAGAAGGCAAATGGATGTAATGAAGGTAGAAAGTCAGGCAAGATATGGAGTTAGCCATTATAAATTTGAAACTGGTCAGAGTGGAAAAATAATAGCTAATGTGTGTATGGGCTGTGTATGAAAAACGCTTGGAAAACAATAAATATAGACATGATCAAGTAGTTGTTTTGAACAATTAAGTAGGCATGAGTTTCCAGTGTAATGTAACACAGACATCACAATTGACGTTTGGATCCTTTGTTACATCAACTTTTTAAGTGTTTGTGTCTATAAAATTCTTTTTTTTCTGTCATCATTATTCAAAGAGGCCTGGAATTCCAGTGAGAAGGTTTATAAATTGGACTGATGGAAATATTTGTTACTCAATGCAGAAAACTTATGTGCAAGAAATCACAATTGTTTGATTTTTAGAAAGTTCTGTGTACCCAAGCGCCATCTGTAATCCAACTCAGTAATAGCCATGTGGTTGTAACGCATTTAAAAACAATGCTTCAGCATTGTCTGACCGCCTGTTTTGAGAACATTGGAAAAGAAATTGTGTGTGATATTACATACTTTTCTGTTGTAGTTCACTTATGTGAAATGCCTTCTCTGATATTTCTAAATAGTCAAAACTTGCTGTGCGATGTGACGATAGTAGCTGAAGACATGGAAATTGCAGCGCATAGAGTTGTGCTGGCCGCCTGCAGCCCGTACTTCCATGCCATGTTTACAGGTACTGAATGTTTCAATACTTACTATGTTCTAACTCAATCCAACTCTATAAAGCACAAAATTAAATGACTTTTGCTTTCTAGGATCTCATTTAATTTTTATATAAGCTAATAGGAATATTTGAATCTCACAATTATTCCCACCCGCCCTCCATTTAAGGACATACTGGCAACTTATTATTTGTTAACATGAGGAATGCTTTAAAAAGTCTGTTTCATTTAAACAAATTTGTCTGTTAAGTTAGTCAGGAATAGTAGAGTTGTTATACCCTTTGAGACTCTAGTAATCTCACTTGCCCAAAAGAAGGTTAAAATAACTTTCATATGAATTTTGGACTAAATGATATCCTTTAACAATGGCTGCTGATTCAGACCCTGAGTACTCTAGGCTGTTGGTAGATACAAGGGCTTTCTGTGGCTTTGGCAGCCTATAGCTGGAGTGCATGTTTTGGTATTTTTAGGGTAATTCTCCATGACAGATGTACTCTGCATCATTGCCACAGCTTTTCTGTGCAGGCTTGATTCTGCCTCTTACTGCTCCATGCTGACCAAGTTACTGCATTGCTGCTATACCAGGAATGCTGAGGACTTGCAAGGCTGATAGATTCAGATTCATAGATGCCTCCAGCTGAATTCCTGTGCAGTGGGCTTAATTCCATAATGGTTAGAAATCACATTGAAATTATGTATAATTTGGTGGCAAAGTGAGAATGCTGCTAAATACATGCTATAATTAATTTCTTAAGTTTTGTCTGTTGCTTCTCAATGTGTGCCAGTTTGGTAGTTAATATTGACTGTGTGAAATTAAGAGGGTTCTCTGCAACATGTTGCTTGTGATGACCAGCACAGGTGGAGGCAGAAATGTGATTCTTGGCCTTCTAGTATTCAAGTGAATTGAAGTTTTAAAAACTTGAATTGTATGCATCTGGAAGACTGATGAAGATGAAATTTGAAATACTTTGTGTCCTGGGGAAGCAACTGATTATTCTTTGTTTTATATGTCAATACCTTAGCACAATGAAAGCTAGAAGTACAGTCACTACTAGTAGCAACAATGCTTTAAAGCTATATGTAAAATTAAATATTTGTTCCTTTAATAGTCCTTCAAGTTTGCATTTGCAGTTGAGACAAGCATTCTAGGTAACTGATACATTCTTTCTTAATTTTTATTGCTTGCTTTAAAGTTAGAATGAAAACAGCTGCTTCTCCAGTTCCTTTTCATTACCTTAGCAACAAAGAAATACAAGCCTCTCAAATTAGTTCTGTGTTAAAGATTAACAGTTGTTGACTGTCACATTGAAAATTATCAGAGTATAAGTTTTATATTATCGTTTCTGTGGCAGACAAGACATTTCTGTTTGCTCTGACTGCCCTTTCTGTTTATGCATTGTTTGGAGTGCTAGTGCAGCAGTGCTGTGGCCACCCCCGAGATGGAATCACTGAAATCTTGGTCCTTTACTTGCTTCAATACCTTTTGCCTTTTTTTGTGCTTGTTTTATGTTTTTACATGTAGGTTTTCTTTGACTCCCAGTGGTGTGGAAAGTAGGAATGCTCACCTGAGTGATGAGTGGGAAGCATTTAACCCATACAACTGTGGCAGTGTTTGTGTAGCTGGTGAACCAAATTGGTGGGAATTTAAGTAGAATTCAGCTGTAACTTCAAGATTTGTCAACAGTTTTTATACTACTATCATAGGCTGCTTTCAGCAGGGTCCAGCTGTGATGTTGGTGCATTTCAACCATCCCCCACAGAAAAAATTCTTACGTTCATAATAATTATTTTCATGAACCCTGCAATTCACACTTCTGAGGTGGATTTGTATTCTCATCCAGTAGTCTGTTAGCTCAGTAAGCAAGTTTGATCCCATAACCAGCTACAGCTAAATGGAAAATTATCTTCCTCCATCCAGAATAAAATGGTCACTGAAAAGACAGAAAAAAAAAAAGGCACTTCTGTGCTTCAGGGTTACTTCTTAACTAAAAATTAGAAGTTTAAATTTGGACACATATTTGCAGGTCACTTCCATCTTTCTCTGAGCCATTAGTAGATACTGATTGCTATGCAGGATAGGGTATGGTATTAACTAAGATCAAACCCTCTGCATGGTATCTTTTCTGTTTCTGCTTCATGCAATGGTAGAAGTAGCCCTATTAAATACCAAGAAATAAAAATTTACTGCCTTTTAAATTTAGTAACAGTTACAAGTACAAGTGAAAAGAAAGGTTAAACATCTGAGACTGTTACCAGGAATAATTCTTCTTTCTGTATACAGTGAAATTCTTCAGAAATATGTACAGTGATCTGAATTAAACACGCTTAAATGATTAGAGGAAAGGATTATGAAGCATCAGTGAAGGGACACTTCAGTGGCCCTAGGGTCTAACTCGGGACAAGAGTGACATGAGTTTAATTTTGTCTTCTGCCAAGGCAGTTATCCTTAGAGAATTAGCTGCTCTTTTTGCTTCCATTCTCCACTTTCAAAATTCTGTTTTAAAAAACAAACAAAAAAAGCTTCACATGCATTACTTTGTGAGGAACCGTGTAAGTTTTCTAGATAACCTTTTAGTAACTTCCACTCACCTAGTGCTCTGCTGTTCCTGCTTGGGAGGTTGGATCAGCTCCGTGCTTTCCTTTCAGTTCACAATATTGTTTCCTGTCAGTAACAACTCTGTGGAGATATGGTGATGCAACTTCCCAATCATGATCTGAATTCTTCTGCAGGTTGAATTCTAGACTGAGAGAGCCTAGCGAGTGAATCTATGGGTAGATAAGCTTATGATCTGTCAAACTACTCTGGATCGCAAGAGGACTGATCTAGAATTGTAGTAAGACTGCGTGTCCGTTTAGCATGAAAGGTAGAAGTAAGTCTTTGGTTTTGGGTTTGTGCTTTGGGTTTTGGGGTTTTTTTATATTCTGGGCTCTGTTGTTAAACAGAGAAGGTGCCTATCTGTGGATCTAGAAGCCTTGACACAAAATCTGAAAACAAACCTAATGTGCTTGCAGAATATCAAACTCTGCTCTCCCACACACACAGTTTTCCCAAAGGACCACCTCCACAGCAGCTTGCATAATAAATAACTTGCAGCATGCATGCTCTGAAGATCAATAGGTTTAATCTGTGTCAAACTAGAAGTAGAAATTTGGAATACAGGGCCTTGTAGAGAACATGCTGCAGTCATCCTTCAAAGGTGTAGGTATATGTTTCAGAAGAGCAGATGAAAAACGAAAGTTCTGCAGGGGCTGGATTTTGCTGGTTTTGACATAGTTCATCATCATTGTTTTCTGGAATGCTAGCAACCTGTGTTGCCATTAAGTAGTAGTACGTTGCTGTAGATGGGCTTCTGCATTTTCTGCCACTTACAGGGTTGATTTAAAATGCCATTCCTTACCCTTCAGGTAAAAAAAAAAAAGATCCTAATAGCAATAAATTTCTCAGTGATGATCCCTTTGCCAAATGCACTGGGTAAAATGCATTGTTTGGCACCAACTCTGGAGACCACAGAGTAACAAACAAAAATGCGTATGTACTTCATAAGGAAATCCCGGTCATGATAAGCATCTTCTGGTTCACTTCCCTGTCCTGTCTGCTTCCGTTGTTGTATACATTAAATTTGTTACCTCATCAGTACCTTTATCTCTAGAAGCCTAGGGGAAAGAAATTCGAATACATCCAATATAGAATAAGAAATCAACATATCCAGAGACTGGAATCTACTATTCCAAAGTCAAAGTTGATATATCTGCCAGCGTAACCAGTGCAGTTCATGTTTTGCTTCTCAGTGCAAGTAAAGGGAAAAAGGGTTAAAGGTCTGAGATGACCAGATGTGTGGTTGGTAGCCATGAAGAAGGTTATAATCGTTACTTCAAAATGTATCTTAGGGCAGTTATTTCAGGTATAAACAAGATTTTTCAGAAGCATCATATTTTAGAAGGCAGAAGCTCTTTTGCAGGCCTTTCTATGAAGATCTGTTGTGGCATATGGCCAATATGTCAGCCTCCACAAAATGAGATCCAACAAGCTTTCCCTTGCTTACTGTTTTATCCTAGCTTGAGTTTTAACCATTAAATCAGATCTGTAACAGAAGTGAAATTGCTAAGGGAGTAACAAGTAAGCAAGCAAAGAAATATGTATGTTAATTCTTCTGTGGGGATATAATACTTATTTTTCTAAATAAAATTACTCCAGACTGCATTTGCTATGTTCCTTTGATTAAGAATTTTAAAAAGCTGGAGTTTTTTAATGGCTTGTTTTGCCAGCAAAATGTTTTTGTATGCATTTGAAGAGTCTTATATTCATTAACAATATTTTCCTGATATTGTGCACTGGAGAAAATAGGTCACATGCAGTAGAAGTGTTAACCCAGGTAGCATTTGCATGATGGTAACAACAAAGTCTTACTTTCTTATTGGAGGGAGGGAGAAGGAAGTTGAATTATTGTTATTGAAGTTTTTTACTATGACAGCTGTTCATATGCAAAAACTTCTGCTACTGGCAGGAGCAGTTGCTGTTAAACTTTTACGTATGTGCTGTATTTCTGTCTAATTTACTAGACTAATAAACTGTATTTGTAGGTGAGATGAGTGAAAGCAGAGCAAAGCGAGTTCGAATAAAGGAAGTTGATGGCTGGACTCTAAGGATGCTTATTGATTATATTTACACTGCTGAAATTCAAGTTACAGAAGAAAACGTGCAGGTAATATTTTCTGCAACAAAAGAGATGTAATGTGCAGAGTCATTTATTTTGACAGTGTGGTTCAACTCCAAAATGGGAAATCTCATCTGCAAGCTGGATTTTCTTTACAAAGCAAGTAGTTGTGCTGTTTAAATTCTGGGTCAAATTCAAAGACAATTGTAGTAAATGAAGAGTCAGTTGACTTTAATGTGCTTTGCAAGCAAACCTTATGTAAAACCACAAAGTAGATGGTCTACTCTCCCTAATATTATTGCTGACAACAAACTCTGTGCCACCTTCTCTCTGATACTTTATTGCAGTTTACATAAGCAAAGTAGATTTGCTCCTAAATGTGAAACCATGTTCTCCAGTTAAGCTGTTCTCTTTGTTTTAATGTGTTTTTTTCTGGCTAGCCTGCAGAATAAATTACCTTCTCCTGCTCAGTCTCTGTACCTTGCCAGTGGCCAGTTCTGCAGAAATTTTTAGCTACTGCTGTTTGTTTTTTAAATCAACCAATATCTAGCACGAAAGTTTTGCCCATCCCACACATAGCTGATCAGTTTTTCTAATTGACTGTACCTTAAGCTGAAAGTAGGTTTTCCTTCTGTTAATTTTCAAGACTTGGCGTAGATGTTGGTAAGTTTAAAACTAGTTTCATAACAGGTGACATTTAATTCTCTTATTTTTCTTCTTGCTCCTATGTCCTTGTTTCTGCTCTTGCCCAGTGCTAGGCCACAAGCAGTTATTTTGCTGCTTTTGCATGGAACAAAACCATGTTGCTGTATTTGGCATTGAAATCTACTGATACAATTTTGTATTCTGAAATTAATTGTTTTTGTTGTACATTAGGCTGAAATGAATAGCTTTTTATGGACTGCTGAATCCGATGGGGTCGCTGCTAGTTTTAGCTATGCCTGATTGAAGGCCTATAAATGAGAAATATTACTAACTTGAAACAAAATATCCTACTACTAAACCTTCCATATCTTAGGTCACCTACTTGAGGAATTGTTTAATTCTGGTCTGATGATGATTGGGGTACATAGTGAAAAAACAGAAGTTATGTTGTATCTTGCCAATCTGTTGGTTGCACAAATCTCTGTATTGCTGTGGAAGACCTTGGCAAGATCCAGGGGTGTCAGAGATTTCCTAATAGACCTCCTCTTTCTTGATCACATTGGCTTTTGATCCGTAAAGTCTTGTACCTTTGATGCACCATATCAGAATGGACTTAACAGGCAGCCTACTGTGTTCTGGTTGTAAGTGCTGTCTAGGAGGATGCATTTTAGCCCATCGTTGGGAATGCTGACTCTTCTATGTTTATGGGGAGGAAGAGTCAGTGTTATGTTTCTTCCTTGTACAGGACTCATTAAAGGCCAGAAATCTCCAGGTTTAAAGCTCCTGAGTCTGATAGGGCTTTCATTTTTACAGCTCCAGGTTATCTATCTGAAGATATATCTGATGATGTTGGGGATGGTAATATAAATAATGTGGCCTGGTGAGTGACATTACAAGTTTGTGGTTTCTTGAGTACTGAGAAGACAGTGAAGCTTTTAAGTGGATTTTAATTTATGGCAATATAGTTGCACTTTAATGTTGGTACTGAATTTACTTGTAATATGACTGGTAATTAATGTAAAACTATTCTTTGTCATTTTCATCCTTTTTGCATTTTTACTACTAGATACATAGTATTGCATTACAGCAGAATGAAACACCATGGATAAAAACCAGTATACTGATGCAAGTACTTTTCCTTAAGTTTGAAAGCAAAGGTGGAAAATTTTTTGCTGTGAATTCCTGGAAACTTAGAAACCCAATGCACACTGTCAGGCCCTAGTTAAAACTGTTCTCTGCAGAAACACGTTGCATGCTCTTGAGAGTAGTTCTGTCTCTCAACTTCATGTTTATATCACAAGAATAATTATTGCTAGAAGGTATTGTGAAATTTCAGTAATGATTAAGAATTTATCTTGTAGGAATACAGAACCATGAAAGCCTAAGATACTGTTTAAGATTGTTTCTCAACTATTTTTTTTTATGTTTGGGCTAATGTACTAGACTGGAGCTTCAGCTTCTAGGTAGCTGGATGTGATTCCTATCTGATACCCTTCACGGGATTTCAGGTACATTATTCTGTCTTTTCAGGTTATACATAGAATAAGTTTTGAATTAATTTCAAATGTGTGATACAATGTCTGAAAAGGGTGTGAGCGCTTCATGTTTAAGTAATGTAGAATTGCTAAATACTCTTTAGTATTAAACTAGCTACATTGTATATTTATAAAAACTAATTATAAATGAATACTTAATGGTATAGCCAAGTTCACTGGCCTTTCTCAAGAGGGAGGTTAACTATGAGCTTTTCTCATTACTATCTTACTTGATCGAGATACAGACAGGAGATTTTTCCCTTAGTCTTTGCCACTTCTGAGTAAGAGCAGTTCATTTTTGCTCCCCACTGTCATGTTCTCACTTGTGGTTTTTTGATGGTGGTGGAAAAGTCAGGTGTAATCAGTGATTGAGGAGAAAACCACATTCATTTAGTGCATAAACTATAAACATGGGAGTCCCTCAGCACTGGTTGTTATCACTGCATTAGATAAATACAAAAGCACATTTGTTCTTTTCTTCAGTTCGTGATTCAATAGGTTTCCTCCCCAGCCTCCAACAGTAAGACAGCTGGTATATGAATGTGTACATTCTTAGTTTTCTTCTAGTATTTGTCCTTCATTTAGAATGAGTTATTTTATCATTCTTCTCTAATGCCACTCAGCACAATGCTACACCAGTGTTTCTGTCGTATTTACATATTATGTCACGTTTTCCTGTGTTCTTATGTCTCTGCTCTTCCCATTTTTTTTTCTCCTCAGAAATGAAATTGTCAGACTTAATGCAGTATCACATTTTTCATGTTTTAAGAAGAGAACATCAAAGTTAATGTTTTCAGAAGGCAAATCAACTTTCTTGCACATCAGGTTTTTTCAATTTCCATATAGGTATTATCTACATGCAGTGCACAACGTGGGAGAGTTAGTTACTATAAGAAGCTCATGCGTGAATAACTCTCCCACACTATGCGTATGCATTTTAACATGTATTTAGTTAGCCTTACACCTAAGGCCTCCACTGAGCAGAGATACATTGGAAAAGTAATTCCTGCAGTTGTTTGCAGACTGTGGATTTGTCATGGGCTTTAGAGGTCAGCCTGATATGGGATGGTGAGTGGGATGTTATTGGGGTAAACATGGGGCAAAGTTGGTTGTGTTCCTTTCTGATTTCCTGCCACAGTTTTCTGTTCCTGTGCATGTGCTGATACAGTTGTTTGCTGGACTGCTTCATACACCAGATCACTGAACTTATACAAAAAAAACCAACCAACTCCACAACACTTCTCCTTCCCACTCCCCACAACTTTTGTTTTTGTTTTGAGTTATTCTTAACTTGGATTACTTCAAGGTTCTAGTTTATAACGTGGCCCTGCTGGTTATTGTGTTCACACAATACTTTGGATTAGTGTATCGAAGTGTGGGAATGTACACCTGTGTTTGGAGTGGACATTTCCCTGCTGCCTGGGGAAAACATTACATGTAGCTTCACTTTGAACCTACTGATCAACGTGCTATCTTGCTTTTGAGCAAGAAGCGCACACAAGAGGTAGCAGAAGAGGAAATCACAAATAATGATACCTTCACAAAGCTCTGTCCTGGCATATTTTTCCTTTTAAAAAATATTGTTAGTTATGACTAACCCAGTACGAAATCCTGAACAGAAGCATTTTTAATGAGTATCATTTTTCGTGTTAATTTTCCAAGATTATTCAAGAACAGTGTTTGCATAGTAATAAGCATATTCCAGATGCATGAACACACAATATGGATGTATCTTTCCTTTGTAACTCTTACTGTTCATGTACAGATTGCCATCTAAAGTATAAAAGACATGCTTCTATTTGTATGGTGTCATGTGACATGGGCATACGAGTTGACAGTACACTTGATTTGAGGTGCTGTCAAAACAGAGTCCAAAAAAGCAGCTGATTTCCCTAAGAAATCCTCAAAGAAAGAAGATACTCATGTCCAAACTTTATACTAAGGCAGTCATTCTGCAGTACAGTATTTGGTAACATGGGCTTTGACTATTTGTGCTGCATCTCGTCACCTGTAGAGTCTACTGCTTGAACAACTTGGCAGGGTTGTTGAATCCTGAGAAGTCCTCTAGCTCGAAATTTAACAGATACGCCTCACCAAAACCCATAGAAATCCAACGGCTTATGAAAACAGACAAGTGCTTTTCAAGATGGTCAGCTTCTGAGTTTTGTTTGTGGCATGACCGACAAATAGTTGGATAGGCAGGACTGAGGGTATGTTAAAGGAGCACAAATGAAGAAGAAATGGGAGGCTACAGGGAATAGCATGAAAGATAATTGCTATTGAACTCTCAAAAGTGAAACAGTGACTCAGTGTATCTAGTCTTGGCAGACCATATTTAATCCAACAGTGGAAATTTTATAACAATCCTTATGTAGGTTATTCCCGTTGCTTTAACAGTTTTTTCTGGTTAAAAATATAGTATCTGACTTAAATAATCTTTGGTCTGTACTAGACCAATTTCAGGTACTTCCTTCTGCTGTCTTGTAAAGCAACTTCTTGTTAGTGTTGCTGTAACAGTCACATCTATTGAAAGACTGTTCTCATTCATATAATTTTTTTTCTTTAGGCTGAGCATCATAGACTTTTCTTTGGAGGCAATGCTTTCTAAATCTTCTACCATTCTTCTTGCTGTTGTAGACTCTTTCCATTTCACCTGTATCTACATTTTTACCATGTGATGGCCAAAATTGGACCCAGTAGTCCTTTGAAACATTGTTAATGAAGACTAGAGTGAAATTATTATCCTGTGTGTAAAATAACAGGGTCTGTTTCTTTGTCATTGAGTGGGCGCTCTTTTCCAGTAACATGACACTGATTCCAGCAGTCACTTTCTCTTTATGCCAGTGGGGAGAGAGAATGAGAACATGA